CTAAGGGGCAACTATCAGACCGATAGTTCTGAGACATAAACACTCTATTGTCTTTATTGTTCACCACTAAATTTTCTTCCGTGCGCCAGTTCAAAAATCCTTATTGAATTATTTTCAACTTTTTTTAGATGAGAGCCGTGAAAGCCGAATGTAAAATTTGAAAAAGAAAACAAACAAAAACCCTCTTAATACAAATTCAATTGTTTATTTTCTATAAACCCGCTTGTTTACAGAAATATTTTCACGGACGAGTACTATCCATCCGGGTATTTTCCTCGGACGGGCACTTTGGGCTGATAGTGTCTCTCCGCGGATGAACACTATCGTATCACGTGATTAATTTAAACCAATAAGAATCGGAGAATATTTAGTGGCGAACTATAATGGCTGATAGTGTGCAATGGCTCAGCCAATCAGGTTGCAGCATTTGCATTGGGGTTCAAGAAGAATTCTACTAAAATAAAATAGATAGCGAGTAGCGTGGCCAGTGAGAGAACGGCATTCGTGATGGAACGCTAGTAGATTTATACTAAGTTGTGACGTTGCATGTAAATGTTCGTTAGTAAGGCGAAGTAAACACTTCGCTACACATCAACTTAGTGACAGGTAGTGATCGACTTCTTAATTTTACCGGAGTGGGGAGGGAATGGAGTTTGTTGGGGTATTGGTCAGTGAATAGCGAGACGCATTTTCCGCTATTAACAAGCAAGTAAATTTTCTATTTGTTTCTCTTGGCCAGTTCGTCTTTGTGATGATTTTATTGCCTCCATGAAAACGACTGAAGTGGGACCAGTACCAGCGTTAGTCGTGTCGTTTCTTCAACAAGCTGTGGCCAGCAGTAACACCGTCGTTAGACCATTATCGGCCTGTTTACCTGAAGATTTGGTACGTCGGGGTTTTTTTCAATCCGCTCTAGGATTAACTATTTCTGTACTTATCTTAGTTTTACACCTCCCTAGCTAGCTCAGTAATTGTTACCATTAGCCGTGGTCAAACTCGGCAAGCAGAATAAGCAAGTCCCTTCCTGAGCCAGTCAAGTGACGTGACTTATGCGACTTTTCACGGTTCCATTACTATAGTGTCATTTCGAGTTCTGTTTGACTTCATTGTGATTGCTTAGGAGAATGCATTGACCTCTTTGAATTTGTTTTCGCTCGTTTTATACGCGAAGAAACGTGTAGATGCCACTGAGGGGAATTTCACATTAAAGGAGCTACATCACGGTTTGCACATCTTGAAAATTTTAGCCTAAATTTTTTAAGTTCGTCGTTTGTAATCCGTTTTAATCTTCTCCATCCTTAACCATCTTTGTTTCTTTACGATTTATTATTATCTCTCTGGTGTTTTTATATCTTAGAAAACTACTATTTTCAGGTTTCCTTCCATTCAAAGGTGATTTTTTTTGTGTGTGTGTGATCGAGCTCTTTTAACACCAGGATTCAAACTTATCATTCCTGTCATTTGAATAACAGGGGTGCAGTAGGTACATCCCTTCGTTCAAGTCATCCTATTCGCAGTCATAAAATAAGTCAGCAAGCCTGGTATTCTAACGCTACTGAACGTTCTTCTTTTCCAAGGTAAAGGAAATATTGGAATTATCTCCTAGCCTACAAAACACACCTGACGTACTTTTGGGTTTGTGTAATATGAAGACAAAAGATGGACGACAACTTTGTGCCAAGGCGCTCTGTCACAATATATGAACAAAGTGAAACAAATGAAAGGAGAGCTCTACAGCTGTGGGGTATCAAGAATAAACAAGGTTTAACATTCAAAAGTAGGGAAGTGAGAGCTCCATAGCGGCATGTCAAGGCTCTCTGGCAAAACACGAACAAGGTTTGGCATTGGAAAGAAGAAAAGTGAGAGCTGTGCAGCTGTAGATCAAGGCTCTCTGTAAAAACGTAAACAAAGTGGAGCATAGGAAAGCAGAGACGTGAGAGCTCCATAGCTGTATGTCAAGACTCTCTTGCAAAACACGAACAAGGAGCATTGGAAAGCAGAGAAGTTAATGCATCACAGCTAAAGATCAAGGCTCTGTAGAAACATAAACAAGATGGAGCGGAAAGCAGAGAAGTGACAGCTCGATATGTCAAGGCTCTCTTACAAAACACGAACAAGGTTGAATATTGGAAAGAAGAGAAGTTAATGTACCATAGCTGAAGATCAAGGTGGAGCATTGGAAAAACGGCGAGGTCCACAGCTGTATATCAAAGCCTAGCTCTGAAAGAGAGACGTTTGCTGATATGAGTCATGGAGAGGAACAGTGGATTGCAGTTTGAAAGGAGCCACAACGAATTAACAAGACTGCGAATTTATTTAAACACGATTAAAATATCAGTCGTGATAAAACATTCACTTCGCTGACATAACTAAGCAGATTGTTATACCACCAAACTGTGAGCATTTACATTCACTGTACGTGTTCAACTAAATGAGTGGATACAGGTCGTAAACGTGACCGTGTCAAGGTTACAACCGTTACTTGTAGATACTGTACATAGTTTGTGAATTCAACTCCTCGTCGTAGTTCCTGTGAACGATGAGATATAGGTGGCATGCACTGGCGAAAGGATAACGTCGAATTCCAAAAAGTGATTTTGGAAAGAGACGTTACTGGGGAGGAGAAAAAGAGAGCTTTTTGGGGCCTGGCCATCTCTCTCGTTCCCAGTGCTCTCTCGCCTCGAGTCCTAAGGGCTCCAAGCCCGTCAACGTTTATGCTCTTTTTGACGTGTTCCTACAAAGGAAATGTACCCAACATCTGCTCAAACATTCGCTTTATTGTGGCCCTACATGGATAAACCAACATTGTACCCAGTTACGAAAGAAAGCCAAATTTATTTGCTTCTGTTAGGAAATATAGCTCATTCAGTTTTCTCTCTAACCAACGCTCGGAAATGTAAATAAACTTTTTTCGTAATGATAACGTCATAGAAAAGTAAATTATTTTGATGGTCAGTTTGGCGTTGTGTTCACTTGATGATCTCGAGCAAAATAGTTTGCTTTTTTAATAGTTTTCATTCAACATGTTGAACGGTTTTCTACGCACCTTAAAATTTATTTAAAAACCGACATTCACGGCTTGAGAGACCTTGAAAATTGAATTTGGTTCTAAGGTTCTCCGCTAAAATTTGTTGCCTTTGACGTCGTTTCCATCCCAACTAAAATTTGTTTCCTTTGACGTCGTTTCCATCCCAACTAGTCTCCAGTTCAAGAGTTTTATCGTTTCCGAAAATATTGTAAAAGTCAGTTTCACACCAAAAGGACATCTTATGCACGTTTTCGCAGCCTTCAAAACAAATCGGAGCTGATGAAATTCGATTGCAATTGTAATCCTCTTAACGTGTCTTCCCCCGAGTCGTTATAGCAGTCAACTATGACGGAAAATGCACAGTGGCTGGGTATCTTAACCAGCAAGGGTTCAATAAGCACTTAGGGACTGGTACCAGGGGAAACAATGAGTTTTGTTTCTCCGAGCGAGACCCTCAGTGTTCCCCGAGGGGAACATTGAGGTCGAGGGGAAACAAACTCACTTTTTCCCGCGGGACCAGTCATTAAGTGTTTTGTTATACCTCCCAACTCAGAAATAGAAAAATACTGCGAAGAAATCGTTTGCTTGAAGCCGGCTGGCTCACAAATTTGCTTCGGCTTCAAGGAGCACGACCTGATCACGTGTGAGTCTAAAGTTCAAGTTTTTGTTTCCCTAGGAAGTTAGTGAGTTTTGTTCGCCCTAGGGATTTAGTGAGTTTTGACCCACGACACGTGACAAGTTCTCCTCCAATCGGAAAACGTATTTCAGTCGGGTGGTATAACAATACCATTTATTTACTGAAAGATCCATTACTGGTGTTTATGAGTTAGTCGAAATTGTCTTTATTTGCCTTTCGCGTAATATAGAAACTTGTTGGTCGAGTGTTCACGTTGGTGTCCTCGGTGAGAGGTCTCTACAAGAATGCATGACGATGGTAGTATTTAAAAACAAGTTTATTCGTGAGTCTTATTTAAAAAAAATCCTTTTACCGAAACAGCTCGATTCCTCCAGATCTTTGCAAATGAAATACTTCCTTTGAAGATTAGCAAACGGTCACCGAGAAGCTACATTCTATCTTTGTGCAGGAGCATTTTGTACGTCATTGAACTGTCGCGTTGTATCTGTAGTAGAATGCGAGTCATCCCTGCAGTCCAAGGGGCATATTACTGTTGTCAATAAAGCGCAAACCGGGAATCTCTGGATTATCACTCGTTCAGTTACCAGAGGTTTTGCACTTAGGCAAGGTTTTAGCAAAGTTGAGTGGAAGACGTTTCTAAGAAGTTGTGATTTGCGTGAATGGAATTCGTTGACGCCTCAGATGCCTCTGCTCTTGAGTAGCACTAGAACTTCAAACCTTATCTTTCGTAGCTTAGTATAAGAGACAAAAAAGTGATTCCCTGTTGAATATTTTTTAATATAACGGCTAAAGCTGGGCTAATATTTCAAAGGAAGTTTTCACAAATACTAGAACATCGTAGACTTATAGAATATGGAGTGGAGGCGCCAAGATGGCTGCCACGATTTATGTTGCTCCG